AACATTATCCTCTAGATAAAATGTTCTTTTCCCTTCATAATGCTTGTCTTATCTGTATTTATAGATAGGATTTGTACCTCTTCTTGGCTTTTTTTTTTTTTTGCTAGACTGACTAAACGAAGTATTTTTCATACTCTGCAGTCTCCAGTCAGCTGATCACCCTCGCAGCCTTTCTCTGCAGCTGCTCCAATTTGAAGTTTCTCGTGTGTGTGTTTTTAACTGTTATAATGAGAATTATGCATAGCATTCCAGATGTGGTCTCACTGCAGTATTGTACAATAGCACTGTCTCTTCCTCTTTCTGCTCCAGTGAGTATGTTCCAGAACTGCATCTGCCCTCTTCACAGCTGTCTCACCTTGATGAACCTGGCTGTTAGGCAGCTCTGTTTGGAATAATTCTTACATAGTTGTTTGGTACAATATCTTTATTAAACTTGAACCATAACCCATTTTTCCATTAACAATGTTATCTAATACTCCTTTCATTTTATGTATGCTATTTTTGTATAAATTTTTGCATGTAATTGAGACTGTATATATTTATTTGTGCCTTCTCTCTTGAAAAAAATCAGTGTCAATATAGTTGATGTTCCCCAGTCGTTACAGAAGTGGTATTTGCTTTAAAGTTTTTGCTTTAGAAAGGACAGTTGTATGTGTCACTGTTTCAATAATTCTGAGAATGGATTCTTTTTGACTGCATTAACTTTAATAATTTTTAACTCCATTTGTCATTGTTTTCATATCTAAGACAATATAGATGAGGATTATGGTGAAGGTTGGGAGTTCGTTCCTGAATATCCTTAAACTTCATCCCATTGTCCTTCTTCAGTATACACATTTTCTTTTTTTACCTACTTGGGTACAAAAAAGCCTTTAAACAGTGTAACTTTTTTGTGTAATAACCTGTTTGGGTATAGTTTAGCTTTACTTTTTCTGTGTACCTAAGATGCAGCTCTCTGTGCTGATTTTTCTTTCTTTTCTCTCCCTTCTCTGTTCCCTGCTATTTTTGATAGGATCTCTGCATGTTTCTGATGTCTCACTTGCACAGTGTTATCAACAATTGGCTTGTCAAACATCATTTTACCCCTTCAACTTGAGAGGGTGATCCTTAAATATTTTGGAATCTTTGTGTTAAATGCCAGGCTTCTGCTGTATTTCAAATGTCTTTGTTAACCTTCACTAGCAAATTATTTGGGTGTATGCTGCTGAAATTCAAAGACCTAGTTATTAACCTGTTTGGGATTTTGCAATCTTTATTTAAATAAAATTCCAGTAATATATGGATTAGGTTACAAGCAGCTGTTTTATAATGTCCTCATTAGGTAGCGGGAACAGTCTTAAAGTAATGGAATCATTTGCTGCTTCAGTAGCTATTTCATAAATTTATCAGCTATTAGCTCCAAGAATAACTAAGCCTTTCCACTTGTCTGACTTGTTCTCCAATTTGTGTCTGGGTAATTAGTCCCCTAAAATGATACAAATCACTCTATTTTTATCTAACGTTAAAGATCTGCATCCATATCAAACACGCTGGAACAACTGCCCCATTAGTTTAATGCCTTTAACAGAGCCTGTTTTACCTACTTCCCTTACCCAAAGGATTTTACCCAAACACATTTCTGTTCTTTTTATCTATTTATTAATTTATATATAGTTTAGTCATTTATAATTGTCATTTGTATATATGATATGTTGCTGACACACATTGTTCTACTCTTCATTTCTATTTTGAATGTTGCCTGTTCCTCGGTACTTCATTTTCTTAGCTATGAGTGCTGTCCCAACATGCTGTAATTACTCTTTGTTCTGCAACGAGTGCCAGTAATTTAAATCTCTGACTCTTACAGACAGATGCCACCAGATAATTCATGATACTCAGAAAATGTACAGCTTGATCTTCATCATCTCATCTCTTGGTAGTTTCTGTCCATTCTGCACCATTTTTAATAGTGTATTAAAAATGGGTGTGAAAATGTCCCTGTAAAGTTTAAAATTCTCTGCCAGTAATGCAGGCTGTCTTCCAGAAGAGTTGTTTCCACAGATGCTTGAATATGACCTTTCAGAAAATTCTTTTTCAGACAATCTACCTCATGGTTTCTAAAACCTTCCTGATAATACTTGTCCCTGAGCAGCTTGTTAATCTTGTTATCAACTCATATCTCCAGTCATATTTCAGGGGAACTTGGAAGAATTGTTAGTTTGAGAGACCTGTTTGTCACATGGCATTCCTCCTGTCCATTGCCTTCTTCCTCTTCCCTTCTTTCCCCCAGCTGATAAGTAAACTTTTAGTTGGCAGGTTTTCATTTTGTTACTAATATCCCATCTCAGTTTTCTTAGTTATTTTGTGATTTATAGTCAAAATATTTCTTGGACCTAAAGAAACTGCTCTGTGTGGCTTTATAAATGCAACCTTTTCTATTCAAAAGATTATTTTTGGTTTAGTGTGGATAATCCCACACCAGTGTACTTTTTTTTTCCCCCCATTAGATACAATTTCATAGCCTTTCTTTATTAGAACTATGAATATTTTTCCATCATACTTTGTTTATTGTTGTTTTTTTGGGGGGGAAATGGGCAACCATCCAGCCCCCTTGATTGCCATAATGCATAAGAAACATGATTTTGCATGTGTACCAAGTGCATCAAAAAGCATCAAACTCTGATGCGTTGCTTTAATTCTTACAAGTATATTTGTCTTCTATCTTGCCCTTGAATCCTGCAGTAATAGTCCAGGTTCTTACATTTTTGTTTCATGGATTCCTGCGATTTTGCACACATTTAAATAATTTCTTAGTAATTAAATCCCCACAGTTTTTCTTTTAGCTCTTGCATGCTGAATCTTAGTGATATACTGACCCTGTGCATTCTCTCTGCTACAAAATTCCTAAAAGACTTAAATGCTTGAAGATTGTTAATGTAAATTCATTCTAGTAAATTCTGTACAGACTAAGATATATATTACGATTATGTTCCTTCTGGAATCACTTGTAAATTCACTGCTTCTGAATTTATCATGTTCCATAAGTTTTGTTAGGTGCTTTATGATTACAAATTTTTTGAAGTTGAACTTCCATGGGCTCTTCAAACTGCAAAAAGTACTCTCTTCTTTTTACATACATAGAAACAGTAAATGGATTGTATGAGGCAGATTCCTGTGATTTTGGGTTTGGGTTTTGATGCATAGATCTTCTTGTATTTGGGTGGGGCAAGGAGTGTGGGGACTGTGTGGGTGTTAGGGGTAGAATTGATGTAGTAGTGTGAGGGGAGAAAGATGTTATTTGTCATTTTTCCTTCTCATGAGTAAAATGTTAGACAGACCTGGACATTTTTTCTTACAGTGATAGTCACAATGAACGAATATCTAGAGAGGACCACTCTGCCAAATGAAATATGACTTTAAGTTATCTATATAGTTCCCTGTATACTCAAATCTGATTTACTGATAGGAAGAAAGCTAAACTAGTGTAAATGATTACTCTGTTCTGCATTTCTACAAGACATCAATCAGGTGAGACTCCATATGACCTTATTTACCTTGCTTATCCCCAGGTGCTCATTGTCTTAAACTAACTAGACCTGCCTTTCATTTTCTCCTCAGTTCCACCAACAAATACATTGTACAATAAGGTAGCTTATTCATTTTTAGATTTACATGCTGGGTAGTTTCTACAAAGGACATTCAGTGCAACACTAAGCGTTAGCTACTGTAACTTGCTGAGGCACTTGATGTCATTTCTTATTCTTGAGAAAACCCTCTGGCAGTTTGCAGTTACTATTAGCAGCCTCCAAGTTTGTATTTGGGATAAGAAAGTTCTGAGCTTTCACACATGCCCACCCTCTACACCCTTCTCAGTTTTCCCACGCAAACCATATGACCAATCATATAAATTTTTCACTTAGAATGATTAAGGTTGCACTGGAATAAAATGCCAAAGTACACCTGGGTTTAAAAACAGAAACTAGGCTAACAGTTTTATATGCATATTTTCCTCCTGCATTGTGCTCTCTAGTCTTGCTATTTTCTAAAAATTGCTTTTTAGATTAGTACTTTTCCAGTGTATTATCTGTTCCCAGATGCTGTGACTCCTATAAATGTGACTACCAATTGACTAACTCCTTTATTGTCACATTGTATTTATATTCTTTAATTATCCAGGAAGGTGTTTTAAGTTACCCAGTCTCTGTAGAGAACCTTCTACTGATACAGGGAATGTAAAAGGAATATGCAGTTGTCATCTTATGAGGCTCTACACTTTATTTGTCTTGCTGCCATTAGAAACATAACTTTGAAATCAGAATTAATTTATAGTGGCTTCCACCAAACATGTTTGCTTCCATTATTAACAGTTTGCTGAATATTTGATGCTTTCTTCTGGTTGTCACTTGTAAATGTTCAAAATGTTTAAAATTCAAGTTAAACATAAATTTTAGCACCTGCTGATGACAACATAATGTAGAGTGAAGCTACATTTTCTTGTTGACCTTACCAGTGCTGACTACCTCCCATGAATCTATCTGGTCTAGTGGTATCTTTTTCACTAAAGCCTCTTCTATTTCCTGTAATAGAAATTGCTATTATAGGGAAGTAACATTGTTTCATGAGTTAGATAACTATCATCTGAGCCAGTTGATGTAAAATCCTTTCTCATAAAAGTAGTAAAGATTTTCTTTAGTGATGACGTCTCTTTAACTTATGAAGTACTGTTTTTAGTGGTCCTGCTAATTTCATTAAGCTATATTGTCTTCCTTAAGTTCTTAAAAAATTTTTTGAAATCCTGTCAACTATTGTTTCTGTCCAGTTGAAAAAGCCATCTTGTAAAAAGCACTGTTACTTTGATGATATTAGCTATTTAACTGTATTATAATTACTTCATGAAACAATTATTTAACGCCGTCTTTGTTGTTTTCTCCAGTTTTGCATAACATTTACTATCTTTAAAAAAGTTTTGCTTGAATTGGAATCTCTTTTCTTTCTCTTAATTTCCTTTCCCTTTTCACTAGATTACTGTTTACAAAAGTCAAATTGGAGTCCCTGTGTAGAGGCCCAGATGAAGCACTCCTTACCTGCAAACACATGCTCCAGATTTGGAAATCCTGCTACAATCTCACTAACCCAAGGTAAGATGCTGTAGAATTCTAGGCTGTTTGGTACCTTGCTCAGTAGCCTTTCAGGGCAATATTAGGTCAACAGTCCTGCTTCTACTTGGTCTGGTATTTCATATGAACAAACTAATCCTCTGGGAATCTGGAGACTGAAGTGCAAAGACAGCAGCTGATGGACATGCAGAAACTACCCAGAATTCTGTGAAGTAAGGTACACCAAAGTTAAACTCTGCAGTGATGAGGACTATATACAGAGATTGGGTAGTTCTGCCATTCTCCTTGATGGGGCTCAATGTACTGGTATTGTCTTGATTTTTTTCCCCAATCAGGGTTATAGAGTCTTTTATATTGTCTAGTGGAGAGATTGCTGCAGTGGAAATTTAGTTCAAGGACTTTTGCTAAATAAAATGAAGAATACAGAAATATCAGAGGTCACATGGATAAATATGATGTGCTTGCAAAGCCAGTATGGCTTTTTTCTAAAGGCGAGTCTTACTTATGAACCTATTTTGGTACTTCAGAGGCATTAACAAGTATTTAGATAAGTTGATACAGTCTTACTTGGGTTTCCAAAATGCTTCTGTGAAGGTCCTTTGCCATATATATTAAGCTGCGAAACAAACAGGAAGGACACTTTGCCAAAATCCATGCTGGTACTATTCAACACATTTATCAAGTACCTGGAGAAGAGGACAAGCAAAACTTTGAATGACTGACAGTTTCTGGAGAAGAGATGCTGCAGCAGCAGAGCTTTGTACCAGGTGGCATCAGATACCTGTATGGCAGTATGATGAACATTATCTGTTCAGTTTTTGCTCTTCTTTTATTTGATCTTAGTTATGTAAACACACACATCTCTTTGAGGGAGTTGGCTTTATGGCCAAAGAGGGAAGATTGCTTCTCTCATTAACAAGCTAGTGAGCAGTTCAAAGCAGGAAAGTTTGGAGGATTTGGCCGGGAAAGCCTGGAGAGGGACCTGGGTCAGTCACAGTGCATTCAGAGAGATTCTGAATACTGTGGTGCAAGGAGCAGGATGTGGGGATTATAGAAAGTAAGTACGTCAGCAACCAGAAAGGTTTGAGATTGAATTATTTTCAACTCAGAGTCACTGAACTAGCAGCAGGGGCCTGGGAGAGAATGTCTCTTCTACCTTAGTGGGTGGTGGTTTATTTTAGTTGGCTGGCTGTGTGTGGGGGGGGGGTGGAGGGTTTAAGAGTTGTCAGAATGGTGTGCTGTGCAGAATAGTTACAATTTCCCTGTAAGTTTAAGTCTTAAGTTCAGTGAGGCTTTGCATGCACTGCAGCACAAACTTCCACCTTCCATCTCTGCTGTTAACTTCCTCTACACAGAGCAGGGCTCTAATCATGGCTTGTCATTACTTTTTTGTTGTTGTGCTAGGAGCTACTGCATGTTAAGTAATGCTTCTTTAACAGCAGTGACTGTTAAAGCTTACTCTTGGCAGTATCAGGTTCAAGCAGCAATGTTCGCTCGCTCTCATGTCACCGTTGTCCTTCAAGAACGCTGAAGTGGAAAAAGTAACGAAGACTATGCTGCATCTAATAGTTTTTACTGCTTTTTTAATCTTGGCATTTAAACTTTTCTTGAAGTTCTAGTTTATGGTAACAAATTAAAATCAAATTAAGAATAGAATGGACAAGAGCTGTGGACAGGTGTCATAATGGAAGATGATAAGTTTCACAAACCACACAGAATTACATCAAACAGTGATTACTGATACCAAGCTGTAACCTTTCTTTGCATGGTCTGTGGGAATTTTAAGGGCTGAATACTTTCATATTGTGTCACAGTGATCCAATCTGTCTGATTGTGATAACAATTATCACTCAGACCTGAAATGTGACAGGGAAGTTCTATTCACCCAACTGTACTCCAGATGTAGTGAAGAATGATAATGCAGTTTTGTTGCAAAAACTTAAACTTTCCAACCTCTGTAATTTTAACATACACTTCATTTTGTTGAAAAGCAACATTTGAAAACTATGTCTCCCACTGAAAATAACAGAAGCTCTTTTTTAATAGTTATTTAAGCCAATAATAAAAGGTCTTTTAATAATTTGAAACCATTTTAGAATGTTGTTTTCAAAGATTTAAATATCCTTTATGCTTATTTGAAACATCTTTTTCTGTTCTGATTTAGACTGAAAACTAATTCTGATGTATCATTTTCCCAATGAGTTAAGAACTTGCTCTTTTGATAAGCTGTGTTTTTTATGTTGAATATTTCTGTTTGCAATTAATCAGATTTTGTGGAATAAACTGGACTTCAGTGACCTCAATAATCTTTTAATAATGAAAATAAATTATATACAACTAGATACATCACACAAAGTAATAGCTAAATGCAACACTGTGTCTTACCTTTGTTCAGCTGATTTAGAACAATTCTTTTGTCATTAATTGGCACACAGACATTTTCCTCATGAGATGGTTAATATGAATTTAAAACTTTCTTTGTGGTGCAAGGCTCAGAAAGTTTAAATATTTTTCTTCAGCCTGCTGCTTGAAGTTTATGAGAAAATAGTTCAATTCTTTTCCAGTTCTTAGTTTGCATTAGAAAAACAGAACAAACCACAATGCCAGTGCTGTGCTTAGAAGATACGTATGCTAAGCCTGGCTCTCCTTGTCAGAAGCATTTGACATGTCATTGCTTGTGGATTGAGGAAGGGAAGTAATTAATACAGTGGTTTACCAGAAGGTATGCACCAACTGAGCTAACAACTATAGCTGATAGTGTGTGTCCCAGAAAGTTCCCTTCTGTTTCCTGTGGATTTCTATAATGGCATCATTTTCTAAGGAAATCAGTCATATAATAATGTTAGGGTAATGCAAAATTTTATTTATAGCATTTATACCATTTTAATAACAGCTGTACAAAGAGAGAGAGTTGTTTCACTGTTTTTTTGCAGTGTGCAACTATTAAGAGTTGCTGAAAGGCTTCTTGCTCTTCTGTCAGTTCAAATTCAGAAGGCAAATAGAATTCCAGTCTAGCCGTTTAGATTAAGGTCTGTCAGGCTTTACTGTAAGCTAGGAGTTTTGTAGAGTTTTTTCTCTTGGGTTAGAGTCAGACAAAAGTTTGCACTCTGCTAAGTAAGGCTGACAGCCCAATTGCTTTAAAGCTTATTTATTTTTAAGTTTGTAGGGTGCTATTTTTTTTTTAAAGAGGTTTGTAAAGAAGTATTCATTTATAGAGAATAATACCAAACTTACAATCCTAAAAATTAAATTACTGTATTAACCATAGAATGTTAAAGAGTGCCCATATGTGCTTCTCACACTTTTCTGTCAATGTGTCTCAATACTTACCTCATATTAAGGAGAAGGAGCACTTAGTTCTTCAGTCCCTGTTCTTCTACTGAATCTTTAATAGAAGTTCTAAGAGCAATTAGTTTTCCAGCAAGTATATCAACAAGAAGCCTGAGGGACAGATACTGAGTTACAACTGAAGTAGAAATTAAGTGCATTTGTCTACAGGAGCAATCAGTGAAAACCACTGCTACTGCTTAGGCTCCTGAGGTATTGGAAGTGTTCAGGATGTTTCTACTGCACTATCAGGACCAAATTCAACATTAGGCAGTTAATATGTGTGTGTGTATATCCAAAAAAACCCCTCAAAACAACAACAACAACAAAAAAACAAAACCAAAACCAAAAAACCCCACACAAGAAACCCTGAAACTCTGACGTATCATGCCTTTTTATGGTGAAATGTAGTTACGGCATCTTTATAACATCTTTACCTAAAGTTAGATGTCCTGAGTTTAGTGTTTTCTCTTCAGTCTGGGAAAAGCATGGATTTTCAAACTTACATCTGCTGTCTCTGATTCCTGTGAGAGGTGTGCCTCATATTATATAAAAGTTTAAGGTACAATAAATTATTTCTGTAAAGCTGTTAGCTATGAATCAAATTAAAAGCCTGTATTCCCTTCATGGCTGTATTAAGTATTCAAACAGAATTGCTGAAGTAAATACGAATTTAGTTTTGCTTAGCTTAATTCTGTTTTAATGCAGCTGGCTTAATGCACTGTGAATGGTTAGAGGTGCTTGGTACTAAATTTGTTCATAGCAAGAACTTTTATAGCAAGAACCTTTGTGGGAGGAGGGCAGCATGCAACTTGTATCTTAGTATATAATTTTATATTTTAATAGCTTGCAATTTCTATACTTCATTACAGCGATTCTGGACGTGGGAGCAGCCTGTTAGACAGAGCTATTGCTGATAGACGACAGCTTAATACAATTACGTTACCAGATTTCAGTGATCCTGAAACAGGTAAGAACTGCATTTGAACAATAAAATGGGTAAAGCAGGCTGGCTACAGCTAGATTTTGCAATAGATTTTGTTTTATTTTGCAAAATGAAATAATATTTTCATTGTTGTCATGTAAGTGGAAATAGACATTGTGCAATATAAGATTTTTTTCTTCTTTATTTATGAAGTACTTGCTGACCATGTTCACTGTAAATTAAAGCATCTATAGTGTGAAGCTTGCTGAGCTTAGTGGTATTTTGTCATGCAAGGGCTAAAAATTAGTATGCTGAACTAGCCTATTTGCCAAAGTCCCATGCTTTTCTGTCCATTTGGTGTTTGCACATATTTTCTTTTTAAAAGGTAAATCAAAAAAATTTCAGAAAACTTCTAAACTCAAAAAACCCTGAAGACATTGTTGCTAATTAATTCATTAAAATCTCTAATACATATTAAAATACAATTACATGGGTGGGTTGGCTTACTGTAGACATAGCTTTGACATAAGCAGAATTTATTTATTACAAATCATATATATTGTGATAATTTGATATACATATCAAAAATCCTGGTGCACAGGTGCACTACAAAAAAGCTAAGATTGTTACATGTCAGTAAATATTAACAGTATGTAATTTGCCTGTTTTAATATATTCAGTGAACAGAATGCAAATTGATATGCCTTAAGAGTCATATAACCAAAAAGCAGGTGAGCCATGCATTCTGTGAAAATTGCAGGAGTTACCATGATGATACCAGTTCCAAAAACCTTTACAGTATGTTACTTGCATTCTAAATATTGAGAGTTTTGTTTCCTGGTTTTTATCTCAAAATTGTAGCATGCCTTTCCTGGCACCTTTCAGATGTGAATTTCTGCTTAATCACACTTCGACACAAACTGCTTATGGGAAAGTTTGCCAGCCTATGAATTAGAATACACTGACCCATAAATTAAGGTACATTGAGATGTGTAATATGTCTCGTTATTTAGTATCAGAAATGTGCAGTAGAGAAAATCCAATTTAGATATTTAACTTCTGAAAGTTAAAGTTGGATCGAATGTTCACTCAATTCTGGAATCTTGTAAGCAAATAGAAAGTGTTCTGTGCTTGCTGTAGTGGCAAATGATTTTGATTACAAAGATCGAGACACCTGATTTCAAAGACTTGCAGTATGATATGGTCTGAAGTATGGCATAATTTACCTTGCTGCCCCTTATGTGGAATTTTTTATCCCCTTCATTTGTATAATTAAAATGTATATGATTATATCATTCTATAGTGATAATTCTATATTCTAGTCTAGCTCATGGTTTCATTTCAAGGATGTAACTAGATTTTTAAAGGCTATGTATACATATATTGATATAGATAGATAATTTATGCCTTCAAAAAAGTGCTTGTTGGGGGGTGGGGTGGGGTGTTGTGGGAAGTTTCTTGTGATTAGTTTTGGGGGTTTGTTTGATTTTCTCCCATGGGGGCACAAAGCTCTTCGTCTACACCTTCAGGGTGTCCTTAATATCTGCCACACTTGAGAAGATAATGAATTGGTGCTTTTAAAAGACTGTATATTCCTTAATGCTTTTAAGTAAAGATAAAACCTCATCCAAAACAAGTTTTCAAGAAGCCTGCCCCAGATTCAAATCCTGCAGCCAATATCTTGATTGGAAAACAGGTTCTATACACATGTTCTGATTTTTCTTGGAAGTTCCAATTTGTCTTTTTTTCTGAATCTCAGCTGTATTGTTAGAGTTTATCTCTACTGTCAAGGAGGACAAGATGGGAAATAAAAAATATGGGGTCCTATTTTGATTGTTTTTCTTATAAAAGGTAATTGTGGAGGATGGGGTGGGAGTTCCTCTGTTTTTTATGTGGTTTAGGGGAGGGGGGATTATTTTTGTTTAGGTTTTTTTGATTGTTAATCTTAGCAGAAAAAACCTAGTTGCAATTATCAATACTTAAATTCTGGTAAGAACTCGAGCTTTGTTATCTACTCTCTATACAGTAGTATACATATAAAAGCTGCATATGCAAGTTTTGTCAAAAATTCTTCATGCATAAGATTATATAAAAATTTTGCAGAAATTAAAAGGTTATGGTACTATAAGAATAAAATAAATCAAACTTGTCATAGTGTTTGAGTAAGAAAACTTTAAGCAGACTGTCAAAAAAACATTGTTCATAAAAGGTAGATAATAGATGGTTGAGATATTAGACCTTTATAGGCTGAAAGAGCTCATGTGCAAATTCTGTGGATCCCCAGTGTTTAGAAATACAGAAGGAATTTGACATTTAAATAAACAAATGTTAAAATAGGGGTATGTAGGAAAGGTATTGTGGAAAATCCTCCTACAGAAATGTGTGTTCCCCTTCTCTTTATACTGCATAATGCTACCATGTGTATGCATTTATGTGTTTGTTCAGACATGAACGCTTGGAAGTGTTCCCTTTCCTAACTTTGCTTGCCACCTATGATATTGATCTCATTTGCCTGTTTAGTCTGAGTTTGGCCAATGCAAATACCAAGAAATGAGAGCTGAAATTCTAATCTAAGTCTAATGTACTTGCAATTTGAATTTTTAAATCTTTTTTTTTTTTTTTAATACATCTAGTAGTAATAGATGTAAACATTCTTTTTCTTACACGTATCAATTAAGCAGAAGCTGAAAGTTGGAAAAAAAAAGAGGTCTTAAAAACCAGTTTTGTATAGAGCTCTTACCAATCCCATAATCAGAAATGATTAAATGATTGGAGTTTAAATTTGTGTAACCTTTGAAGTATCAAAAGAGTGTATTGTGGATTTCTTACAAGGCTAGACTGTTAATTCTATGCCTTCATCAATAACTCTGGTAAGTCTTAAAGTTTGCCTTCTATTTCAACTGGTTTGCCATGAGTGCCCTGCACCCATATTTCTATATATGGATGAAGGAAATAAATACGGAGGGGAAAAAAAAAAGTTTTGATGAGTTGAATCACTAAAATAAAATCTCATAGGGAGGCAAACACATTTCATATCCATAGATAGATATGCATATGCAGATCACTTGAGACTCGGTTGGCTATTTTGGTTAAGGTAAGTTGCATTCAGTCTTTTTAAAAACAGATTATTCAATTTGTTATGTATTGGTTGCAGTCCACTTAGTTTATCATAGGATGAAACAATAGTAGCTGAATTTTAAACTTTGGTCTTCATTTCTCCTTAGATATATTTTACAAATTTATGCATTAGAACATAGGGAAAAAATCTTCAATCTGTTTCTTTAATCTAGTTTAGTATGGAAGGAGAATACATATCAGTACAGGGTAACTTTTTTTATGTTACAGAAGAAGGGATATTTATTTTATGTAGAAGCGATTTCCATCTTACTGAATGATGAAATAAATGCTTTGCATTTTTTGGCATCCATGAATCCATTAAACCCTGTTGGATTTTTTTTCTTTCCTGCCCCCCCACACCCTTATCATTCTCTTTGTTTCGCTTTTTAGCCTCTGATACTTCCTCATCTTCTCTCTCAAGAACTGAGTCACCTCTCCAACTGTTTGTATCTTCTCATCTTCCTCATCCTCCTCCTAAACCAGATACCTTTGTCTGGCCCCATGCAGCCTCTGCATACTGTGACCAAGTTCCTGAACCCTGTACACCTTCTCGCTGTAAATTGGCTTTCTATTCCTGATGCATTTGTTAGTTTGTGCTGTATTTTTCTGATAATCTTCATAACTGATAAACCCTATTTAAACAGTTTAAGTTTCAACAGTGTGTCAGTGAAATCTGGACTTTCAGATGCTCTTCATTAAATGCTGAATGGGTTTTAAGAGTTTCATCAGAATTGACTGTTTTATTGATCCCAAAAGAGGTAAAATTACAGACATATTTAATACTGTGTTCTCATGACTGTTACAGAAAAGGATAGATGTTTGGTAAGAGATTATTGGCCAAGACTGCTTTGTAGCATTTACTGCTGTAATTTATTTCTATTGCTGCCATCTTTTGCTTAACAAAACTGTCCTTTCCACAGAATTTCCTTCTTATTTGTACAGTTTTTTAGTGACTTGATTTCTGAAAACCTGTAGCTAATTGCATTCAAAACACTTCCCTGAAAATTCACGTGAAGGAAAAAATTGCCTAAACATCAGTGTGTATTTTCATATTGCAGGTATGGCATATTCGAATGAATCAGAGGTATTAGAGCAGTGAAAATCAGAATAATGCTAGTTCAAGTCAAGAACCATTTTGTTCATTGAAATGATGCCAATTTTCAATATGTTGTAAGATCAGTCTCCCTGTTGTTTGAATACAAACTGTACAGTAATGCTGCCAGAGTAGTTCAGATGGCAGGGTAAAATCAACGTAGTTTTCCAGACATTTCTTTTTAAGTCCTTTTCATTTCTGTTAAATTTCCCTTCACTCGTAGCTTTATCATAGCACTGGTTTTGTGACTGCATTTGCTATAATCCAATCTTAGGAAATTCATTTTGACACCTAGCCTTTAACTAATCATGTCAAAGATCTTAATTCCTAACATGTAGAAAATAAATCTTTGAGTATGAGCAAAATTCACTTGTTAAAATAGCTGACATAAGTCTGGAGTTTTGAAAACACTAGCTCATATGTAAGCATGTAACTGGAAATTAAGGAAGGCACTTCCTTTAGACTCTGGGAAATCTGTCTTACAGAAGTTTAACTCGTTGAAGGCTAACTTCCTTCTTGAAGCATTTGAACAGTTGATTGATTGCTATTCAAGGTTTGTGTGTCGTTGAGTTGAATTTGCTCAGACCTACTCTATAAACAGTACATCTTAGTGTTAAATTACTTGTTCTTTGCAAAGCTACAAGTTATTAAGAACCCACTCAAGAATAAAGGCAAACTGAAAGAATGCAGAAGCCCAAGCATGCATTTCATTATGTAAAGCCCAAGTTTTCCATTTCCAAGCTACAATAGCCTCAGGGAAAGGTGCTTCCACCATATGCATGAAAAGTAGCAGAACCATGAAAAAAAGACAAGATATTGGAGTCCTTTGTATAGT